AATTCACCTCATTAAGAAATTCATCAGAAATATTCTGTGAATTATGTAATTTTTTTAATGCCACAGTTCTATCTTCACTGGTTCTTTTATTTTCATAATTTGTAAATTTCTGACCATTTAACCAAATAACCTTATATATAGTTGCAAACCCACCTTCACCTATCTTTTCTATGTTTGTTAAATCATTACAAGGAATCCATTGAAGATAATCATCATTCCAATACCCAGTCGCTTTAAAATGTGTACTTTTAATCAACTCATCTAATGTTTCATTGCCACTAGTCCATCCTTCAGTTAATAGCTTTGGACTACATGATTGACACCATGAATTATCAGTATTATATCTCTTGCAGGTTGGACACTCCCCATACTTTTCATCCCTTCCATTTGAATACTCATCATCTATTACAAATATATATTCTCCTGTAATTGGATCTTGTGTTAATCCATAAAAATTTATATATTGAAAGTGTGTATACTTTCTAAACTAAAAAAACAAATAAAATATTTAATTACAATTATAATAACTACAATGTTTTAAAAAATCTGAAACTATTAATAAAACAATTTACCTCATTAAAAAATTCATCAGAAATATTCTGTGAATCATGTAATTTTTTTAATTCCACAGGCATATCTTTGCTAGTTCTTTCACCAGCATTATTTATAAATTTCTCACCATTTAACCAATTGGCTTTGTATAGTGTTGCAAAATCACCTTCAACTATCTTTTCAATATTTGTTAAATCATTATGAGGAATCCATTGAAGATAACAAATATTACCATACTCAGTTGCTTTAAATTGTGTACTTTTAATCAACTCATCTAATTTTTCATTGCCACTAGTCCATCCTTCAGTTAATAGCTTTGGATCACATGATTGACACCATCCCCAATTAGTATTATATCTCTTGCATGTTGGACATTTCCCATACTTTTCTTTTCTTTGCATTGAATATTTATTATCATCTTTTTTGTCAGTAGGGGTGTCACGAGGATTCTTATTGGCAATTTTGTTGAAAAAATTCTTTTTGCTCTCATTCAAAGTGTTTTTCATTTTTAAAATTATAAAAAAACTTTATTTTTAGCCGGCCACTATTGTAAATTTATTGTAATAGTAATAGTAATTTAAAATCAATTTACGAAAGTTGCGCACGAAGAAAAAATCAACACGAAAATACTGATCACGAATTCAAACCAGTCCAATTTGATATTTGTGTGAAATTGAAAGATTATGGAATGGGGTGAAATTCTGATTGGCTAATTTGAATTTCACACGTGTAAATTTGAATTTCACATGTGTGAATTGCGAATTCACATAATTTCATTTTCACGTACAACATTACTCAATAAAACCAATAATAAAATAATTGACTCACGGAGAATGAATTCTGAATTGCAATGGACTTTTAATTCTTAGATTCTATTTAAAAGAAGGAATTTAAATGATTTGCTCACTATAGAAATAGTTCTATACAGAAGGCTCAAATGATGTTTAAGGAATACATTTAATTAGAACAAATTAGGAGCTCTAGGAAACCAGAAAACTAGATAACTGAACCTTTAACATGTATAAATAACGTTGTAATTTCTTAACTTTATATATCATCATATAATCATTATCATGTCATTAATTAACATCATAACAATAATTAACAAATTGACCTTGTCCTTGTTGTTGTCATTGAATTTTATATTTTCGTAACAATAATAAATCTATCTCTAACAATGAATTCATACTAATTCATGCATAATAAATTTTCTCTTATTTTATATTTATTATTATTTTTTTTTATTTCTTTAGTGAGATATACATTTAATAAAATTTATTTAGTGAAGTTTGGGAAACATAACTACCTGTCTTGAGTAGGGAGTAACAGTGCGAAGGATACCACCAAGAAACGTGATTAGGATATAGTGTGAAATCTAAAGAAGATATTGTTTAATATTGCTTAGCAAGGAATGTTTAATGATAAGAGTAAAGCATAAATATATACTCGCAGAATTGTTGTTACTATTTACATAGGTAAACTCGATAAGTCAGCCGTGCATGGCTGAGCATGTTTGGCTGACTTATCGAGAGAACTGACTTATCGAGACCGTCTTACAAAGAACATGTGACATAAAAATTTTTTGTGTTAAAAATTTTATTATTATAAAATTAAATAATAAAACAGATAAAAATATGAAAAAAATTTTTTTTTTATTCTAAATAAATATCCATGCTAGATTGTATTGAAGAAGTTGCATGTTTTCTACTAATTTTCCATTTTAAATCTCTCAATCCCGAAACAAATAAACTGTTTACTTTTATATCATCATTTTGTTGCAAATAATCAGATAAATTTTGGATACTTTCTAGAGCAATTTTATTAGATACTGGAATCATATCTTCTTCTTCTTCCTCAGTTTCGGGGGCTTCTTGGACTGCTGCAATAATTTCATCATCACTAAGCATTTCACCTGTTCTTAAGTTATTATCAATTTCAATATAATCCCTTGCTCTAATAATGCCAATGTCATCATTCATTTGATCAATGAGAAGAAATCGATATACCCCAATCCAGTGATACCGTAAATAAGGTTAATGATGAGACAAAGCCTCAAATACTCGATTCTTCGAGATCAATTAATATGAAGTCTTCTACCAGTAACACTGATATTTCACAAATAGTAGAGACTAAAAAATTTTCAAAAGAAGCCATCTCAAAAACCGATTTCACTGGAAATGATCAAAGTTATGCGACTAAAGCGGAAACAGCCAAGATATTACCTGTTGAGGCGATACCTATTGTAGCAAGTAATCTATTCTCACCCATGTTTATGTATGCAGTTATCGCTTTTTTGATAATTGTAGTGATATGGCTCGTTATGGTAAAGCCTATAAGAAATGCAAGAAAAAAAGATATTATTCGAGACCATTTTTGGCGTTTTAGAGATTGATAAGATTAATTTAATGAACACCTTAATATATACCAACCTGTATTATTGATTATGGAACAAGAAAAAAGTTGCATTATTATGAAATATAGATCTGTCATCTGACGGATAATCAATTTCTTTTTCCATTTTTGTTATTAGGGCGTTTCATTTTGCGTAAATGAAAGTCTTTTTTGTATTGATTAACAGGTTTCTGAAAAATAATATTTAAAGAATGGCTAATTCCTTCTTTTCGCCTTCATAATCTTCCACTTCTTCTACTTCAACTCATTCAATATTTTGTTTTGCAAAAATTTTTATTCAAAATTTTGATCATAAACAAATACATACACGATGGGGTAATGAAAAATTTTCAAATTTCTATTGCTATAACTCAATAACTCAATTAACTCCTTATATTTCCTAGTTACTGTACATCTTGTGAAACTCCATCTCAAAATACCGAAGAACCTGCTGGGAGCCACGATCCATCTAAAAAAACAAAAAAACCTATGTCTCTAAAACAAAAAAACTTACATTTGCTATTATAAAAGAACAAGAGTTACCAAAACAAAATGCACGAAATGTAATAATAAAAGCAAGACAAAAGAAATGGGCGGAGGAAAATAAAAAAACCTAAAAAATGAAGCAATAAGAAGAAACCATGAGAGATGGCTTTAAAGGAGTTTTATATATTTTTACGATCTATATATTTAATTAAATATAGTATATTCTTTTGTATCTCTATATAATAAATATTGGATTAAATTAAAAAGTGATTGGTGTTCTGTAATAGTATGCGCCTATTTTTTTCTGAATGTTTAGCTATCCCGCTTATTTGATTATTTTTTGTCGTCTCTTACAATAAATGCGGGAAAAAATTCAAATCGAAAAATAATTGCAGGGTAGAAAAATTCGAAGAAAAAAGGTGATAGCCAAAAGTATAATTAATACAAAAGATATATAATAATTGTACCTTTGGATAACACCAGATAATTAGGATATGGGTAGAAAAATTCGAAGAAAAAAGGTGATAGCCAAAAGT